AGTTATCCCCTCATGATTGAGCTTATGCTTTGAGCATTGTTTCTGCACCAGAATCTACCACATATCAAGAAGCTGTCAAATATGAACACTAGAGACAAGCCATGAGAGAAGAACAAGATGATTTGGAAGAGAATCATACCTGGGATGTGTCCCTTTGCCAAAGAATAAGCGAGCAGTAGAGAATAAATGGGTTTACAAAGAAAAATACATGCCAAATGGTACTTTAGAAAGACACAAAGCAAGATTAGTAGCTAAAGGATTTACTCAAGTCTATGGAATTTATTTTTTGGATACTTATTCACCTGTTGCCAAAATCAATTCAGTCAAGGATCTTTTAGATGTTGCAGCCAGTAAGGGCTGAATTCTTGGTCAAATGGATGTTTCCAACGCGTTTATTCATGGCGATTTGGAGGAGGAAGTTTATATGGTGTTACCACCAGGTGACCCAAGAACCAACAGTCCTGAAAAACTTGTTTGTCGATTGAGAAAATCCTTGTATGGCCTGAAGCTGGCAAGTAGCCAATGGTTTGCAAAACTTACCTCTTCTCTGTTAAAGCATGGTTTCTCTTAGTTAGTTTCAGATTACTCATTGTTCACTAAATGGGTTCATGGTCGACTTGTGGTGTTGCTAGTATATGTCAATGACAGGCCAACGTCCGCCACCAGCCTCCGAGATGGACACCTGCAAAAGAGGACCCTGCCGGCGGTGGTCGGCGGGGACCTTCTCCGAAGCTCAATTCAGTATTGAGAGGAGAGTAACCGGGAGCGGTGTATTGAGCCGACTCTAGAGAGAGTTTTTAGAAGTTCAAATCCAAATCAACTGCCGAGAAAGCATAAATGAGCGTCCTATTTATAGGTTCCTTCTGATGTGGATGGCGTATGAAAAATACAATAATATTAACAAATCACCCAACCAACCCAATTAGGTGCAATGGGTGGTCAGGTCAGTAAAATATAGCAAGAAAACATATATCACCAATTATGAAAGACAAGAAAACCACTTACCTCCTCTCTTTCTAGTAAGCCACGTATATGAGTAGTGGGAGTTGGGGAAATATATTCACCCATACAATACATATTCACCCATCCTTTATTTTTAACTGTGTAAGCAAAAGGTGAGGTGGGTTGTTTTGGGTGTGTTGCACATTTATCTTAAATCCATGTCATGCTTAACGTGGCATTAGGGGAGAATGAGAGAGAACCAACTAAGGATCTAAATGGTTCATGTTAATAGCCAAGTGTCAAATTCAAGTTTGTGGTTCATGCATTAGGACACCTCATCATTTTTACCCTTTGATGGTAGTAAGTAGCTACACTCATGCATCTTTCTCTACATTGGCCACATGAGAAAGTGGGAAGGTTGGATAATATGTGTGTTTGGAGTAAGAAGAAGAGTAGAATGGTGATTGGTGGAGGTAAATGAAGACAAAGGCTAATTGGTTGTATTTATCCCTATAAGCCACGTGTATGAAGCCAAAATAAGGGGTTGCCTTATGCAGTTTTAAGGAGACACATTTGAACCATAATTCTTTCTAAAGCCATGGACATAAAGAGGAGTAAGGATTATGGTTGGCTAGTTTTGGTGTAAGGGGAAATCTCCATCCATTAACCCCTTCCTAAGAGACCTCTTGGACACGTGGTTAGAGGGGGAAAATGTTAGCTTTATTTGTGTTTGTTGACCAACAATTAAAACTCATTGATCTTTCCACCTACACATCCTTCTTATTCATGTGTATGGATTGATAGATGGCAAAATTTTGGGTCCATAAGGTTCGTACCGAATTGTATCTGACCAAACTAATGTTTGGGTTGGGCCGCACCGAATTGAGTATAATATAATCCTATTCGGCTATTCTTGACCCTACAAATTTTATAAATAGTGAAAAAATCGACCAAAGTTACATTTAGACCGGACTTAACCAAATCAAAGCGGACCGAAAGTAGTGTTGGTGAAGACGAAAGTTACATTTAGACCGGACTTAACCAAATCAAAGCGGACCGAAAGTAGTGTTGGTGAAGACGAAAGTGACATTTTGCCATATGGGCTTCCAGGCCTACCATGAGCATCGGGCTCGTGAGATGGATGAGATGAGTTTTGCGTCTAACTAGGGTGGTAGGCCAAGCAAATCACCGAAAATGAGTAGGGCCGACACCGCTCGGTCGAGATTCAGTCGAACTGAATTCGAATTGGGTTGGCATGAATCGAACCGGTCGATGTTTAATTATGCCGGAGGGGGCAGTGGGTTTGACAACCGTATTTCATTGATGACAAAAAGTTCTGACGACAACACAGTTTTTTCAACAAGAAATGCGTCGTCAGTAATGACTGTATTTTTTGTAGTTACTTTTACTAATAGTAATCTTTTATCATATAGCATTTACTAAGTTCATAAATTCTTTGAGAGAACCAAATTACACCTAACGTGATCATTAATCAGTATCTAATTCATTACCAATAGTATGGCACCTTAACCTCCACAATTTGTTTTAACGCCCAAGATTTGGTCCCTTACTGTCGGACTATGGAGACGTGAGAGGGCCGGATGAAATATGATCCTGATTACCAACTAGGAAAATTCGATCCCTATGCTAAAAACAATCAAATTTTGGCATCGTTGTCGGGGACTCGCACGATCTTTGGAAAGGGAGATTTGAGCACTCGCTAGATTGCGGCGGTTATTCCCTAGTGAGAGCCTCTACGAATTGATATCACTTGAGGCATGGAGAATGTTCGAAAAAAACTAAGAGCAAGGGATAACTAAAGGAAAAACTAATTAGGATTAACCATCTCCTCTATTACTGAACAAATACTTATAGTCTTCCAATAGACCATCTATTATTTATTATACAAATTAACTAAGGGAGTCTCATTTCCATGCTACCCTCGTCCATTAACGCAACACCTTCTGCAAAACATGGATTGGGCTCTCGGTTATGACTCGACCGCCCGTGGCTCAACCGTGTCCACGTCACGTACACAAAAGAAATATGGATCTCTTAATCTCTGGAGTACAATGCCTGAAATTGATCTGTTATAACTGCGCTGCTACGGATCGGGAAATCGTCGGTCACTAGAGTCCTAAAAGCCAAATATTACCCTTCTACTGACATTCTACAAGCTAAGTTGGTCATAATCCAAGTTATATTTCGAGAAGTCTGATGAAAGCAAAGGAATTGTTGGGAGGTGTGATTTTTTTGGAAAATGGGCAATGGAAAATCTATAAGGATATGGAACGATCAATGGATTCCTAATAAGAAATTCTTTTCGCCTGATTTCCCTGCTGTTGGATTTGTCGACACTACTGCTAGAGTTTCGGAGCTTATTGATCATAATTTCTCATCGTGGAACATTGACGCTCTTCAGGACCTTTTCTCACATGAAGATCAGAATACAATTCTGCGTATACCCCTTTGTAAGACCTCTAAGGAAAATGTTAGAGTTTTGGGTGGGGAGGGATGATGGCTCTTATTCTGTCAAATCAGCCTCCAACATGTTGAGAGATTCTAATGAATACATTAAATGTCAAATCCTTTCTCAATAGATTCCAAACTCAGAGATGTGGAAGAAAATTTGGAATCTTAATATTCTATCAACAAGAGCTAACATGGAAGAGAGGATTGAAGCGGTGGGACCGGAGTGTCCGTTCTGTAGATTAAATGAAACGCATGAACACATTCTCCGGTGGACTGTTGCTGGACTCGCAGACTGTGGCGACCGAGTCTTGAAGCTTATTGTTTTGAATGTGGAGAAGACTTGATTTGCCCTAACTGGATCACTGATTTTTAAGGAAGTTTTCAATGGAAAAGGTTCAACGATTCAGTGCATCGCTATGGCTTATTTAGTTGGATGATGAAGACATTATCCCTAGAGTTGTGAATTAGATTTACGATTACCTGGAAATTAACTCAAAGTGCAATCAAGATAGTGTCTTGCATGTCGTTCCCCAGAAGCAAACAACCTGGAATCGCCCTCCCCCTGGTTTCTATAAGCTTAACTGCGACGCCGGGTGTCAGGATCCTATGGGAGTGGGTGTTGGTAGGGGTTATCTGAAGCCACCAAGGAGAGTTTTGCTCAGCCTTTTTTTGAAGACGAAGGGTATTCTCAGAACTATTGAAGCTTAAGCTTTAGCCATTGAAGAAGGACTGAGATTTGCCCGACAACAGCAGATAGGACCGTTGATTGTGGAGTTTGAATGCTTACCACTGATTTTGAAGTTGAAGAACAGAGAGAAGGATTTCACGGAGCTACAGGAGAGATGCAAATCTATTTTGGAGATTGCTGGAGATATTGAAAGGCTTGTTGATTATAAAATTGAATGGAGCTTCACCCCCAGAACATGTAATTCGGTTGCTCACAGCCTGGCCCATTGGGCTTCATCATGGAATGTTTTTCTTAAGTCGGAACAATGTCCACCTCCTTTCTTGTATCCGATCCTTGAAGTGGATCTTGTTTCTAGGCCTTGACCCAATTCTGATTTGATGAAATAGGTTGGTTATCAACAACAAAAAAACGTGTTTATATCTTAACAGAGCATCAACAGTAGCAACATGAATGTGTATATATAATTACTAAACTAATCGCCTATTACCATGTAACATTTACTAAGCTCCTAAACTCTTTGAAAGAACCAAACTATACCTAATGTGTGATCTATAATCAGTATCTAATTCATCACCAATAGCGTGGAGCAAGTTGCGATTTAAGTGCGATTGACTTCTTTCATTTTTAGGTGTTAATTACTTCAATTAGGAACACAACTGTGGTACTAGGATGAAACTTGACATAATGGTTAGATTCAATACTATCCATATACCTTGTACCATTATTAGTCGTAACACGTTCTCTATTTTCTAAATGTCCCTTTGAAAAGCTCTTGATTAACCATTTCCAACACCCAACGCCCCCTTTTCTGTAGTCATAACTTTCATAATTAGTAATTTTCTAATTATTCCCAAAAACAAGTTAGCTATAAGAAAATGATTTAATTCCCTTTTTCATTCATTCATCCTGGGTATCAAAAGCAACAATAAAAAAAGAGAATAAAAAAGGAAAATTTAATAAAAGAGAAAAATAAAATTAATAAGAACATGGTGGCTTCCAGTAGTACTGGTACTAGTGTGATGGAAATATTTCGGGCAATGTTCCTTCTCCTTTTGGTTGCATCGTTCAATGTGGTTGGAGCCCAACGCGGTGCTGGTCAACCGGGTATGCCTGCCACTGGACCAGCTGCAGCGGCTGGACCCGTCGCTGGTGTTGGTGCCGTCGGTGGCGTACTCGACGTCACAAAATATGGTGCTGTTGGGGATGAGAAGACAGATATGACCGCGGTAAATAAAAAATTATTTTCTCTACCACTAATTAATAACTTTTTGATTTCCTAATATTGGAATTTCTTAATTAATTACCTCATTGTATGCATGCATGCAGGCATTAGTGAAAGCTTGGGGCGAAGCATGTGCGTCAACCAGTGCAGTTACAATCGTAGTTCCGACAGGGACATTCTTATGCGGGAGAACTGATTTGAAGGGCCCATGCAAGGCCCCACAGATAACATTCCAAGTTCAGGGAACTATCAAGGCCCCCGCTGACATCTCTGGCGATACGTGGTTCCTTTTCGACAACGTCAATAACTTGAACATTAACGGAGGCGGTACTTTCGATGGCCAAGGACCCACTGTTTGGAAGTCCAAAAAGTCGGTGGCTGTGGTACGTACGTTAACGTTACATGCATGCAATTACTAACTTCGCAAAAAAAGAAGGTTCTTGCTGCAATTAATATATATTAATGCAAATGGATGCAGACGTTACGGTTCAACTACGTGAGCAACGCATTAGTTCAAGGGATAACGAGCAAGGATAGCAAGAACTTCCATTTCATCATAATTGGGGGCTCAAACCTGACATTCAGCCAGGTGACCATCACCGCTGCAGGAGACAGCCCAAACACCGATGGAATCCACATGGGGAGAGCATCCCAGATCTCAATACTCGACTCAAGCATTGGAACAGGCGATGACTGCATCTCCGTGGGAGATGGAATCTCGGGACTGACGGTGACAAATGTGACATGCGGGCCTGGCCATGGTATCGCCATCGGCAGTCTAGGGATGTACCCAAATGAGTCACCGGTCAAAGGAATCCACGTCAAGAACTGCACCTTGACCAACACCCTCAATGGTTTGAGGATCAAATCTTGGCCTGATAGGGAGGTTTGTGATGCCTCTGATATCCATTTCGATGACATCATCATGAACAACGTCTCCTTCCCCATCATCATTGACCAAGATTACTGTCCTTGGAATACGTGCAACACCACGGTACGTATTACATACGAACCAAATCTTACTGTATTGGTTAATAATTTGTGACAATAACGTTTGTTTTTAAACTGTTTCAGGGGCCATCAAAAGTTACAATTTCGGATGTTAGTTTCACCAACATTCAGGGGACTTCAGGAACCCCAGAGATTATTCACTTGAACTGCAGCAGCCTCCATCCCTGTCAGAATGTTCAGCTTTCTAACATTGATGTCAAATCCACCTGTGGCCCAGCAACATCTGTGTGCGTCAACGTGAAGCCTACCATTTCAGGGAACATCCCACCCGGATGTTAACTCTTTCTTAATTATTCACGATTTTTGTAACGGATTTTTTGATTAATTGTAGTGTTTGAGCTACACTTAACTACTCATACTTAATTATATTTAGAATGTGGACCTAGCTAGATATTTTATGTAACCCACAAATAAATTTATAAAAATGAGAGCACGGGTTTTCCAACTATTTTTACCAGGAAAAGGGTATTATTGGATCATCTGACCTAATGCATCCAAATATATCTCCTAATACTTTTGAATATATGGTTGTAGCCCAACGTGGTTCTAGAGATTGTCTGGTCTACGCCCTGCCTCCACTGGCATCACTAAAAAAACATTTTTATTCAGCCATAAAAAAATAAATGTCAAACATAAAAATCGTGAAAAATACTATCCATAAGAAGTAATGAAGATTACGCTTTCTGTAGCTAATTTCATTTTTTCTGTGCCAATAGTAAATTTCTTCATTTTTACTTGTTGATAGTGATTTTTCACTATTAGTCTAATGTGTAAAAGATAGTAAATTTCCAATCGCTTAGCTCTCTCCAAGCTCGACTATATAAAAATAAAAAGTTGTCCATCATCATCTTGAACATACACAATAAAGCGATAAACACGAATAGAAAAGAATAAACAATAAAAACAGAAAAAATAAAAGAAGATGAAGCATTCATAAAATCTAATGAGAACCTTCCCGACAATGTTATTTCTCCTAATAGTTTTTTTTTGTTAAGGGTGAACTAATTTTATTAGAATAACAAGAGAAAAAGGGCAGTACAACTTAGAGACCACAAAAGGTAATTCCTGACGAGAAATTAGGCAACTCGTAGAGTCTTAAACAAGAGAAAAAGCCAAACACGAATCCAATATGTGCTGCCGCAGGAAGCTCTCAATATCTGCAGCAAGATCACCTGCAGTCCTGGAAAGAAATCATGACCACCCAGCGCAAGGAACAAGGCGCAAACAGGACTCAATACAGATACACCATAACAGAAAAGGGACGAGAGAACCCGTTATGTTGCAGGGTTGTTATTCATGTCTTCAGCAGAGTTTCGTGGTATCATTGATGATCTGATAGAGCTCATCCAATCCTTTATAGCTTGTCTATCACTTTCTTCGCCGTGATCAACCAACTCGAGATTGCACTTCCGATTCTACAACATACAATCTTTGGAAGATCCTTGGGGTTGAGTAACATCATTGGTGGCGAGAGCTCTAATCGGTATAAACCTCGCCATGAGACACCACATTTCTGCTGCAAATTTGCATTGAATGAATATGTGATCGACACTCCTCGTCGAATTTGCAGAGTTCACATCGGTTCGGGAAGATGAAGCCTCTTCTCCTCAAGTTGTCCTACGTCAGAATCTTATTTTGATATGTCACCCACATGAAGATACAGACTTTGGAGGGAGCCACGTGTTGCCAAATAACCTTGGACGGGATTTGAATATATTGCGGGCTCCAATGCTTAAGGAGATTGTTATAAATGGAATGAACTATGTAGCCGACTTTTGGTGCTGGTTTCCAGCTCAATCTACCGGGACCTGCAAAATCAAGCTGAGAAATTGTGGTACAGGAGTTTAATAAGAACAAAAGATTTTCTCTCTCTTTCAACCCCCCCCCCCCAAACGTTGTTAGTTTTAATTTCCCAAAGGATAGACTCGTTCTACAGTATGTAATTCTCGATAATCCGGCTATTTGGGTAGGAGGCAGCAACAACCACTCTGGGGAAGGCATCTTTGAGTGTTAGGCTTGGATTCCAACGATCAAACCAAAAAGAGGTGAAAGCTCCACTGCCAGGTTCAACACAAGCAAACTGCCAGAAAACCTGTTTTTGGCTGGAGATTATAGTCCAAGGGCTGCAATCTCTATTTCCTCTCACATCTCATGCCATCCATTCCGACTCGGAGTTTGGAAACTTCAGCTCGATCTCTTTCCACCATGCGTCATTTTTCCACTGCGAATCGCCAAAGCCATTTGCAAAGAAGTGCCAAGTTTTGGCACGCCATATTTGGGGTCCCTAGACCAGCTCTTTCCTTCGGCCCTTTACACGTTTTCCACGCCACGAGAAGCAACCTTTTATGTTCTTCTGCTCCTGACCAAAGGAAATTCCTTTGAATCTTTTCAAATTCTTCAATCACCGAAATCGGCGCTTTAAAGAGGTTGCACAAGTAATGTGGTTGAGTAGCCAGGCAGGTGCTGCTCAGAACAAGTCTACCTCCTACAAGTTTTTTGCCATCAAATACCAATGCCGCCGGTTATCTGTATAACCGGTAACCACCGATTTCTGGTTCGGTTACTATTTATACCAATAACTGGAAAATAGATTCCCACCCCTAGACCTAATAGCCACCTAGGCCAATCGACCATTACCCCAATCCGCCACCCAAGCGAAAAACTTGCTCCCCAAAGACTAACGTAATTGGCCCCAACCTCAGTAACCCAATACCCGAACGAAGACCAAAATCCACGAAATAACAGTAATACATAAACAAAATAAAAAACCAAGCCCACCTAACTAACCCACAACCCTCGTCGGCCGTCTCCAGGTAACGAGTTGCTATCAAACCCACCCGGTGAACTTCTTGAACGAGAGGACGTTGAAGGGGACCTTCTTCGACAACTTCAATCCTATGACCGGCCTTACTTCTGTTGTTGAGGAGTACATGAACAAGGTAAATATATCTCCCTGCATGCACAAGAATCATCCTGAGGGAGAAGGGGAAGTATAATGTGAAATTGGGTGCCCTGTTTATATTGTGTTCATGCAGGAGCTTGAATTGTAGAAATTCATTACTCACAGTGTGCCCTTGTCAGAGATCAACAAGGCATTTGATATCATGCTAAAAGGAGAAGGGCTTAGGTGCATTATTCGCATGGAAGACTAGATGGATGAAGGAATCTGCAAAATCCATATCAGACGGATGTGGCATAATTGGGTTTCATGATGATTTGTAAGAGATTCGTGATCGTCTTTCAGTATCTTTGTGATCGTTTTTAATGGAACCTTGTGTATGAAAAAGAGTAACGCTAGCTTAAGAGTGGGCTCGGTTGGTCTTGTGTATGGAAAGAGTAACACTATCTTTTCTTGTTTCCTCTAGTCAGATGCTCTTCTATTTCGTACCTTTCATATTTTTTTCTTGAATTATCATCAGCCCTGCCTTAGAATCCTATAACAGTTTGTATCAGCAAATAAATAATTGGTTGTATCTCAACCATGAGAAGTATTAATTCCATTACATTATTTACAAAATTTTGAATCAGTTTATGAGCGCTATATAATTATCATGTCTCGACTATAAAAATGTTTGTACATGCATATCTTGATCACATAATAACTAATCATTTTTCCTGGAGATCTGGATGAAATAGCCATCTCGAAACTGCAACGTTAGAGCTCTGAAAATGCATCCTCTTTTCACCTTATTCCACCTGATCAACGCATACATTCCAGAGGTCTGGGTAATTAGTCACATACAACAATAAAAGGCAAGAACCAAAATCAATCTGGATATGTAGCAAGATATATATATATATATATGGTGACTACTTCGGTGCACTCACAAAAATGAGTGCGTTCAATGCACCCAACTCAAAAACTAGTCTTAAGGTGTCGGATTTTGAATTTTAATTTGTAGAATTAGTGTAATATGATGATATAACATATGATAACAACTAATTAGTGGATTACCCTAAGCCCTAGACCTCCAATTTTGAGTTCTATCCCTAAACCCCAAATTGTAAACCCTAACCCTAACCATAAATCTCTAAACTCTAAATCTTTCAAATTAAAGTAAATCTTCAATGGTTTTTGTGCAAATTCATGTGCGTTATTGTTCACCACATCATAAGTGATGAATGACATCATTTTGACATAAATCGCATGTTTAAAATGACGGTTATGAAGTGAGTGCACTGAATGCACCCAAAAAAATGAGTGCACCGAAGACGCCACCATATATATATATATATAGTATTCACCAAACAACATGTGTTACAACTTCTCAACAAAATGGTAGAGTGGAGCATAAACATCAACATATACTAGCTAGTTGTTGCCAGGTCTTTGATGTTTCAGGCATCATTACCTATTTCTTTTTGGGGTTGTGCGGTCCAACATTCAGTTTTTCTTATTAATCGTTCACCCTCACCCATTTTACAAAACAAGTCCCCTTTTGAAATCCATTTTACTTTTGAACCCAACTACTTGGATTGAAAGGTATTTGGGTGTCTTGTCTTTGCTTCTACCCTTCAACATAATCGATCTAACTTTGCTCCACGAGCTGCTCCTTTAGTATTTTTGGGTTATCATCCTTCAATTAAAGGTTCCAGAGTTCATAATCTGGTCACCCGCCAAATATTCTTTTCCAGAGATACAGTGTTCCATGAACATGTATTTCCCTTCTTTAAGACCAATCACAACTGTGAATTTGAATTTTGTTTTCCAAATATTGTTGTTCTAGATTCTGTTCCAGAATCTGTCTTACCTCCTGATCATACCTCTTCGATATCTACTAATAAACCTGTTAGAATACAACTTGAATTTAATTTGGGCTTTGTTTTGAGTTGGGTTATAGGTATAATATGCCCCTATACTATGTCGTTTTATCAAATATGCCCCTTTACTATTTTTTACATCTAACATGCCCCTGTACTTTGGAAAAATTATCAAACATGCCCTTCTATTAAAATTTCTATTGAAAAAATTGTCAATCATGGTTGAAACAAGATTTAGACGACCCAACATCGGCAAACGGGAGGAAAATTGGCAGTTTTGTCCCCTGTTTTATTTTTCTGGATCTCGTCAAAGTAAAATTATTAGAATTATTTGGCTATAAAAAAGAGCCAAAAAAATTCTATAATGAAATTAGTAGGGATATTTTAGAGATTTATGTCGTACAAACCAAAGTTCGACCGTGGTTAACGATTTTTCGATCTAAATTTTGACAAAAGGGCATGTTTGATCATTTTCCCAAAGTACAGGGGCATGTTTGATGTAAAAAATAGTTAAGGGGCATGTTTGATAAAATGACATAGTAGAGGGGCATATTATACCTATAACCCTTTTGAGTTTTGGGCCTATTTTGTTTGGGTTTTGTTTTGACATTTTTCTTGTATGTTTGGAAAAAAGATGTTAGGTTTTCGATTTGGAATTAGGAGAAGAGTTCTATATATACTCTTCATCACCTTAATCTGTAGTTAGGTCACTAAGGTTAGTTTGTTTGGTTTGTCCGTTCCGAAATTTGATTTGTAACCTGTACTCTCTTCAAATTAGTGAAATTTGTTCTCCTGTGTCCTTGGATTAGCTAGCACACATTGTGTTAGTGAACCACGTTAAATTTTTATCTGTTTGTGTTGATTTGGATTGTCGATTACGCGCTTCTGTTACGACAAGTTGTATCAGAACCCTAGTTGTGTTACCAGAGAATTGCACACAAGTTTGGGATCAGAGCATTCCCGCTATCTGAAATTTGTTGGTGTTGTGTTGTTTTACGTCAATATTCCTTTCGTACGCTATCAATTTGGAGTTGGGAATTGTATGAGTGGTAATTATCACCCAATTGATAATGTGGTACAAAGGGATACTCGGACTAAGCAGAGAAGTACCAATTGGTTTTGGAAGAAGAATTATTTGTGGAGCAAAGTTTTGGACTTCGTGTCCGTTGGTTGGAATTTACAAATTTGGCACATAAATTATTGGTTTGTGGTGCTTGGATTAATTCAATAGAAGTTTGGAGCACAAGCAAGTTTCGGAGCTAATTTTTTTAGCTCACCTCGTGATATTTGGCATTTGTTGGATGATTGGTTTGTTTTGGAATATTTTGGTTGGTATGGTGAGAAGTTTGGTTGGAGTTTGTTTCATAATAAGAATTGCTGCTATTAGTATGAAGATTGATAAGTTCACTAGGAGAAACAATTTTAGTTTGTGGCAGATCAAGATGCAAGCACTATCGAACCAACAGGGTTTGTGGGCACCATTGTCTGGAAAATCAAAAAAAGAAAGCAAAGATGAAGAAGAGTGAAGTACTTTGGAGGAGAAATCTCACTCTGCAATCTTGCTTTGTTTGGCTGATGAAATAATAATTGAGATTGCTACTGAAAAGACTGTCGTGAGCTTGTAGTTGAAGCTTGAAAGTCTATATATGACAAAGTCTTTAACCAACAAGTTGAATATGAAGCAACGTTTGTTTAGTTCGCATATGGAGGAAGGTACGCCTCTCAGGAATCATCTAGATTAAATTAATACTATCTTGTTAGATCTGCAAAATATTGATGTTAAAGTAGATGACAAAGATGCTGCATTAATTCTGTTAGTATCTTTGGCACGCTCGTATGAGAATTTTGTTGATTCTTTTATTGCTGGGAAAGATAGGTTGACTTAGAAAGATGTTAGATCTGCTCTACACATTAGAGAGGTTTGACATAGGCGTCTGGTTCAGGTTTGGAAAATCAGGCGTGTGGGTTGTCTGCTACTGGTAGTAGAAGACAACAATATGTTGGTTTGAACGATGATGATATATGCCATTACTATAAGGAGAAAGGTCATTAGAAATTTGATTTTCCTAAACAAAAGAAATATTCGGAGAAGAAGGAAACATCAGTTGCTGTGGCGAAATAAGCTAACTTTGATTCTGAAGATGGTTTAGCCTTAATGGTGAGTGAAAAGGTACATCATCAGGATTTATGGTATTTAGATACTACAGCTGATTATCATATGTGTCCAAGCAGGGAGTGTTTTTAACTTATGAGCATATAGATGGAGGACATGTTTCTATGGCCAATGGTGCTATCTGCAAGATTGTTGGAAAAGGCTCCATCAGGGTAAGGACATATAATGGTTCTGTTTGCACCTTGACCAATGTTAGGCATATTCCACAGATGACTAAGAATCTGATATATTTGAGTCTACTAGACAACAAGGATTTCATTTTCAAAGGTGAAGGTGGAGTGTTGTATGTCTACAAAGGTTCTAAGGTGATTCTGAAAGGTGTTAAGGTTGGTGCCTTATATAGTCTATAAGGTTATATCTATACCTGTTTTGTTGGTGATAAGTGCACCAAGCTGGTTCCGAATGGCAAGTCTCAACATTGGTTGGACTTCCCGAATGGTTTGGTTTGTTGACCTCCCTTAGGGGCATTTGGAGGTAGGGGAGATTCTGTCACATTTGAAGCTTTGGAGAGTTTGTTACGTCTAGCGATTTGCATTGCGTTTGAGTTTGGCGATATATATCACATTTAGATACATCTGACAACTTTGGTTGCATCTGGTACATCTGGTATTTGAGAGAGAATTCAAGTCAAGGTGGAGATTGTTAGAATATGATTTGAATTTGATTTGGGCTTTGTTTTGTGTTTGGCCTATTTTTTTGGGTTTGTGTTGGGTTATGTTTTGACCTTTTCCTTGTATGTTCGGAAAAAGGTGTTTGGTTTCTATTTGGAATTAGGAAAAGAGCTCTATAAATACTCTTCATCACCCTAATCTATAGTTTGGTTTTCTATTTTGATATTTTCCTTGTATGTTTGGAAAAGGTTAGTTTGTTTGGTTTGTCCGTTCTGGAATTTTATTTGTAACTTGTACTCTCCTCAAATCAGTGAAATTTGTTTTCCCTTGCCCGTGGATTAGCTAGCACGCATTGTGTTAGTGAATCACGTTAAATTTGTGTTCATTTGTGTTGATCTAGATCGTCGATTACGCGCTTTTGTTACGACAGAACCAACTTCACCATTACCTCCAGAGAAACCCTTACTTGACTTGGTTGATGTGATTCAAGCAGTAGAACCACCAACATATGCTCGACCACCTCGTATCAAGGTTTATCCTAAAGTATTGGAATAATAAATCATATATATGTATTGTGTCTTGATTCTTGATAACTAGCTAGGGGGATTCAAATCTGAACACCTCCTTATCGATTTGGTTTTGTATTAGTTAAATTGTGTTCTCGTCGGTTTCATGCTTTAGTAGTTAATTATATAAGTTAAAAATCACTAAAAAAAGAACCGGTTAGATAATAGGAAAATATAGATCATTACTAGCTAGTAGTTATTGATACGACCTTTCTTGCTACTATATTGCTATTGATGCTAGGTACACTTGTCTAAGTTAATCGTAATTGAAAAATGGTGATCAAATACAAGTATTATTTATTGACAAATAAATGATTGTCTCTTAACCACGAGAAGTATTCCATAACATTATTTACTAACTTATGAATCGGGCCTATGAGCGTTACATTATTATCATGTCCCGACTAGCTATAACCATGTTCGAACATGCATATAATAACTAATCATTCTTCCTGGAGATGTGGATGAAATAACCATCTCCAAACTGCAATGTTGGAGCTCTGTAAATGCGTCCTCTTTTCACCTTTTTCCACCTGATCAACAAATACATTTCCAAAGGTCTGAATAGTTAGTCACATGCATACAACAATAAAAGGCAAGAACCAGAATCAATCTGGATATATTGAGCCAGATATATTCTATTTATATATATATGTTGTGATGCCGTTAATATACCTGTATTTAGTTACAAGAACATGTAGAAAGACTGCCATGAGGGCTTTACTATACTCAGCTCCGACGCACGTCCTCATTCCCCCTCCAAATGGTATGAAGTTCTTGGTGCTAGTGCTGCCTCCTATGTCCTGCTCTTTCATTATATCTTTTGATTAGTGAAATTAATCATCTAGGATGAGAACATGTGGAGCGATAAATTAAAAAAAAAAAGGGCTAAAAGTCGGGCTTTTACATAAATATTGTGATTTAAATCGAAATAGTTATGGAAAAAACTCCTAAAAGTCTAAGCTCGGAAATTTTGAACCTAGCTGTAATTAATGTGCTAAACCTTTACCAACTATTATAGTTCTCAATAGGGTTTTCATCACAAATTGAAAATAAAAAGATGACATATATATAGGAAACTAGCTAGCTAGCTAGGGCATGTACCTTCCACCTGGAAGGATTGAAAGAAAGAGGGTCTTGGTATACATCTGGATTCATGTGAACAGCAGTTGGCATTACTGCTATTGTCCATCCTTTTGGAATCACATATCCTGTTTTAGTTAACTAGTTAGTAAAAATTACTCAACGGATTAAAAACAAAAAAAATGCACGCCATATAAATTCAGGGATATTTGGTTGAATGACATAATAATTCTGTTAGGAGATATTATTAGGGTAGCGGCGGCGAGAAACCATTTATGTGGACGTCTTCAATCGTCCGTCGAATTATCCCAACTGAACCATTTAGTCGTAGTGCTTCGTTGATAACCTGAAAATTGATTTATACATATATATAATATTACGCACTCCTTCACTAATTCACTTCATTATCTCAAATAATATCATGATGATTAATTGATTGGGGTTTGAATCATCACTTACATTCATGGTGAAATTCATGGATTTGTATTCCTTCCACGTCAACCCGTTTCCTCCCGTGCTTCCTCTGCTGCGGAGAATCTCTTCGTTCTCTTTCTGGGTAAAATTAATTAATTAGTAGCCATTCAGATAATATATATATTAAAACGTAAAACAGGAAATGACAAATTAAAGTAGTCGTAATTCAACGAAAAAATTGGAACTATTTTTTAAAACTATATTATAGAGGGAAAAAGTAGAATGAATAATTACCACAAGTTGGTGGAGGAGAAGAGGGTGGTCGTCGAGGAAGCTGAGGGCAAGGGTGAGGACACTGGGAATTGTCTCTGCGTTGGCGAAAAGAAGGCCGAAGATGAGGTAGCTGATGCCTTTGTCGTCGGGGAATCCCTTCGTTCTCGCGTCGTCAATGAGCTGGTCGAGCAGGTCGATTTCGCCGCCGTCTCTTCTTCCGACCGCCGGCGTTTCCAAGGGCGCGGTTTCCTCCAAACGTCGTCGTCTCTCCTCTATCACGTCCGTTATTATCCTCAGGATTTTCTTCTGGCTCTGCATATATAATTGTTGTTTATATAACACACCACAGTTACTTAAATACGTTTGTAATTAATTCAGGTTGAGTTTAGAGACGTACTTGGAGGCAGGCGTGGAAAGTGGTGCCGGGTATTTTGAGAGGGAACGAGAGCAATCCACGGGTGAAGCTCTCGAACATGTCGCTCAAATGTTGGTGGAACTTGGTTGGGTCGTGGCCGAACAATATATTTGAGCTCAACTCCATCACCATCTGCACACAGTGTGTGTAAATATATTATCTAAATATTTAACGCCGCCGCCGGCTTAAAAAATATTCAATTGGTACAAATTACAACAAAATACCATTACATGCTTTTGTATTTTGAAAAGATTATAAAATGTTTGCGTGCCACAACAACATAATCTTAAATATTGACTTAGTGACTGATCAACAAAGTGATATTATTATTTTATTAAGTTGATATTGATTTGAGACTAAACAAGAGGCCGGAGTGGGACTCAAGAGAGTTGAGAACCAACAGCCTAATTAAGCCCTCAGCAGAGTAACATAATTAATTAATTAATTAATTAATTAAGGAATTTTAGCTACGACCTTAAAGACTTAGTCTTCCAATCCATGGACATCATATTTGATTATATTATCACAATGTCATAGACAATTTTGGTGGTGATGCATGCTGCGTCGTTTATTTGACGTTTGCTATGCAAGAAGACTCATTAGTCAAGACATGTTTTAAACTTTTATAAGACTCGGACTATCTCGTTCCGTCTATTTCAGTATATGTATAGATAATATATGGATTGGTTTGAAAGTTGTGATAGTTTTTATGAGATTGTTATTATACATATTCTATTTAGAATACATCAATATTTTTTCTATATACATTATGCTCGAATAGTTTGCTTGATTTGATATAAGCTAATTGTTCAGTGTACATCAAATTATGGTGATGGTGACTCCGGTTGAGTGGAAAGAGACCTTATATATCCACGAGTCAAAAAACTGTCGTGTACGCAGGAAAGTGAGCGCCATGCAAAACGTGACGAATTCCACAATTAATAAAACAAATTTAACTATTAAAAAAATAAAAAACCTTAGAGCAAGCGCGTTTGACTTCAACGCCACCAGGATCCTCCGCCTCCGCCCGACCCGCCCACCCATCCAGGGTCCGACCCACCATCTCCTCCATCCGACCCACAAGCTTCCCCTTCAGCCTCTCCACCCCAATGTGATCGTAAACCGACTTCTTCAAGCTCTTGTGCAGCTCCTGCGCGTTCCAGGCCTCCTTAAGCGACGTCGTACTCTGCCCGATGATCTCCGCGAACGAGTCCAGGTACCAGAGCTCCACCAGCTTGCCTTCCTGCTGGAGTATGTAGTGGTTGAAATCCGGGTCCGACGACACCACCACCCGCCGGCCGGCCAGGCTCGTCTTGAATATCTTCCCGTACTTCGCAGTTCTCTCCCGCAGGAAAGGAGGGACCTCCAGTGAGTCGCTGCGGGCGAAGAACTGGAACGTCTCGCCGATGAGCGGCCAGCCCATCGACCCGGGCGGGAGCTGGGAGCTGGTCGATGGCCCGGTTGTGGGTTTTGGGTTGGACCATTTGTATGCCCAATGGGCAACCGTTATGGCTGTGGAAATGGTGACGACGAGAAATGGTAACCAAAACATCCCTAATGTCACCTCTTTGTGTTTTTGTGTTTTCGTTTGGTTTCGGGCTTTCGGCTGCTGCGTGAAGACTGAAGAGTATAGAAATGGGCGGTGGGGGTCTTATATAGATGGAAAATTTTAGCACGTCATATCAAACGATTTTTTTTTTTTTTTTGTAAATTTTAGTTTGGACAGATTAAATGGATCATACTTTTGTACGGTTGTAATAATTATTAATTTTATGTGAGAAAATGTCGTTATAGATTTTATATGCAATACCTTTATTCCTTTCACCGATTGTCAATTGAGCTGCTAGTGACGCAACAAGTTATGAATTAGGGTTTTGTATTTTTCATATATACTATAATTATTTGTAACCAAGTGATATCAAAATTAACTCTAGATGTTTTACGACTTATTTTATTTATAGGCGTTATATTTTAACTTAGAATTTAAAGGTATATTATATGTTGTATGTTGTCATGCATCTATAATATTTCGACTCATCGAAATCAAATAATTTTGCCACCATTATATATATACCGAATTGCTAATTTTGGTTAAAATTTGATTTGATATGATACATATGTTTCAGTAAATTGGCGAAGACTTGTATAGCACTCGAGGGAATTGATTTTGTTTTCTCCTTTTTTTCCTTTTAAATATATATATGTATTGAGTAGTAGAGAAAGTTGGAGGAAGGTGTTTGCGTTGACTCCCTAGTCGACGGTGTAGAGAAAAGGTAATTACTTGGCCCGTTAAATGAGACTGTACCCAATTTGAATTTGTTGATTTCTTCTACGTACTGTTTTTTCCAACCTTTGCTCAGCGGTCTTACTTATCTACGGACTGCGGTTTTAGTCTCACACACAATGTAAACTGCAGTCTCTAAAGATAGTGAGTTGTTTACGTGTATATCTTATTGTCCTTTTCTTCTTTTCAACACTGGAGAAACTTCAACGCTGTCATCAGTGAAAGGAAGAGGGAAGTCAATTCTCGGGTTTAATAGATTTTGAATATGTAACCCAGGGGTTCACGCCAAGACGGATTCAAACATAGCGGAAAAACGAGAATATCTTCAATGCAAGACGTCAGGTTCAGTTATTCCCATTTGTCTTTATTTATTGGTGAGGAGGTATATGAAGGAACGAATTGAATCAGTAGTTCCGATGCCAATAGTGACGTAGTAGAACTAATATAGCAGACTCAAATAGCTAGGTTACTACGCAAGGTTAGTCCACGGAGGGTGAGTCTGTTCCTCTATCTAAAAGTGTACCATAATATAAATATATAACTTTAATTTGTATTATAAAGAGATTTTATAAAATAATATAGGTACAACCTAAAGTTGTACTATAAAAGTAAAAACTAAAGCACCAATACTTTAAAACATAGTAAAATTCCTCATCAAACTAAACAAATCAGACCTAAAATAACAGCACGGACGATTATTTATATGGTATTTCTGATGATTAGAACTAATTTATGGGAAAGTTTGAACACTCTCCAAACTACTGATATTATTACTCAAAGTGTACACTAATGGCTACCGAAGCTATATATGTACACCCAAATCAAAGAAGAAGGTCGAACCCTAGGAGGCACACCAATGTCCGATGTTGTCTCCATGCATGGGCTTCATGGGCTTGTCGACGGGTTATGTACAAGTGGGCCTACTGATATTCATTTAGTAAAGGATGTTTAAAATATGAAATTCACTTGAAATTATGTTTTTAACTACAAAAATTAAGATATGAATTTCACTGGTCCCAAATAATAAATATTAAATAGATTTCAAGTTCTAGATAAGAACATTTATTTCTTTAACCAAATAATAAAAAAATAAATGTTAAATCAGTATAATGAAAATATTGATAATAAATAATTAACAATTGAGACAATGTATAAAATTAATATAGAAATATGCATTAAAATTCTTGTTAATTTAAGTATTCAACAAATTTATCAATTAAATATAGATATAGTAAAGTAATCAGTTGATACTTTGAATATTTTGAAAGAAAGGAACAATTTTAGAATTTTAAAAATTTTGTTAAGAGAGAGAAGAGTGAAATTTGATTCTTTTAAATTTTAGAAAAATAAAGATGGAAAAAATTTGGTTCTTTTGATTTATCGGAAAAGAAAGAAGTGGTAAATTTTGGAGTTTTACTGCTTTTGATTTATGTAAAGAGAAATAAGAGGGAATTTTTTGTGCTATCAAATTTGGTGCCTCCATTTTTTAGGAAGGGAAAGAAGAGAGAAATTTGAAGGCTTTTAATTTATGGTAAGAGAAGCATGAAAATTTTGGTATTTTCCAATTTTGGGGGAAAAGAAAGAAGAAAATGTTTTGGTGCTTTCTACTTTTTGGTGTTTCAACTTTCAAAATTTTAGTATTTTCAAACATGAATCTTGAATTTTTATATGGATGCCAACGCTAAATGAAAATATTATATCCTTATACGGAATGATTAATTGGCTATAAATCATATACTTAATTACTTATAAGTTTTATTATAATAATATTTATATATAATGGTTTAGGAGTTTAAGATTAGTAACTAAGATATAGGTATATGCTCTTAAAAACGTCACTCGAACTATTTCAAATGCATATTATTTTACATTATAGATCATATACTTAATTATTTACCAATGTGATTATCACAATCTATAGTTATGAGCAAGATTGTCAAACCGGTTTATATCGTTGTGCTAGTTTGGCAAGTGGAATAGTACCGTCGGTGTTACAACTGGTTTGTGCAGGTTCATGTTGGTTTAACAAAATGTGAAAACAATTAACATCCAACGAGTTTAATCATATGTACAACATATTTGAGGACAATTTACCTACAATCCAAAAAATAACATTAATTTTTAACTTTTAAATCCATAATATAAATAATAAATTATTTATTAATTAAATTCACTAAAACGATGTTATTTTGCTTAGAATTTTTAAGTCGATCATGTCAGCCATACCGATCGTGTTCATGCTAGTTTCATGACCGCTACTAAGATATTGTCTATAGTAAACCTTATTATAGACATATAGGATATGGCTAATTGGATATAATAAATTAGGAAACCTATCATGAGTCATCTTATCAAAATAAATCAATCGCTTATGTTCCATGCTTCTTTGCATCTTCTACCCTACACGAACTTTATTACAATACTATAGTAAAATTTTGGCTCATTTAAGGTGTGCTCGAGTTGCATTTTAGTTTCAAAATGAGGGTCAAGATTGGTTTGTTAAGTCGTAACATTACAGTAACTCAATCATGTAAAAGAATACAAAATTAATTTAGCACTTTGACAAATTTTTTAACTTTTATAAATACTTGAAAATTTTATAAATACATAATAAGGTAGAAATAGATTATCTAAAAATTGCAAAAATTATTATTATTGTAATATATAAAGAGTGAGTTGTAACGAGGGAAGAGTCAGTAATACAATTCAATGAACCCTAAACCCGACTAACCCAGAACCCGAATGAACCCAACCTGAACTCGCCTGAACCCGCCCGATTGACACCTCTAGTCCTCTACCACGAACATAGTGGAGAGTCAGTGTATAAACACGAACAAGATCTCGAACGTAGTGCACATGAATCTCGACATGCTTCGTGCGATCATGACACACCAGATTAACAAAAATGTGAATAGCACTTGTGTTGTTAGAGATCCATAGTGATAGAACAGGAGATATCCAAACCATGCCGAAGACGCCATAACCAGACAAGTTCAAAAACCACATCAGACTCAGCCTTTTGATCTACTTCAGTAGAATACTTAGATATTTTGTCTTGTTTCTTACAACACCAAGGGATAAAAGCTCCACCAAACTGAACACAACACCCCATAGTAGATCGTCGAGTGTCAGCACAACCATCAAAGTCTGAATTGGAATATGCATTGAGACGAGCATATCCGATAGAATGAAAGAACATACCAACATCTCGAGTGCCTAGCAAGTAACGCAAAATTCGGTAAACAACAGCAAAATGATCAGTACATGGGGAAGCCATAAACTGGCCAACAATCTGGACAACATAAGATATATCCGGCCGAGTACCAGACAAGTATATGACACTCCCAAGATTGGATGTTAATGATTTTCACGGTTTTACATATTTTGTTAAATCAGCATAAACCGGTTGTATCACCGATCATACCATTCCACTTGTCAAACCGGCACAGCGGTATAAACCGGTTTGACAATCTTGACATTAAAGACGCAGCAAGCGATGCTTTTCTATTATTGAGTAAACATATATATATATATTACAGGAGTGGCAGCAGTACATGAGGAACATAAAGAAATGATTAGAGGATTTACAGGAGCACGTTACAACAGAATAGGAATGTTATACAGTAGAGAGAAGTGGCTGGAGATACGGATTGGTTATCAGGCCCCTGCAAGTGTAGCCTCGGAGAAGTGAAACTTGGAACAACATCAGTTGGAGATACGGATTGGTTATCAGGCCCCCGCAAGTGTAGCCTCGGAGAGGTGAAACTTGGAACAACATCGGTTGAAGGGCTACCGAGTGAGAGGTTTGGTGAGGACATCCTGGTTTGGACCAGGAGACAAGATGTTATAAACGCGCTGCTACGTATCGGGAAATCGTCGGAATCGATAAAGTAAGAATACGAAAGTGAGAATCGAAAAACACAGACATACGATTTACGTGGTTCACTAACACGATGTGTGTTAGCTACGTCCACGGGCGAGAGAGAGCTAGTTTCACTATATCAAGGAGATTGCAGATTACAGAGGAGTAAGAGAAGTATTTATAGTACTTCTCCATGTGGGTCTAAACCTAATCCAATCTGGCAAAGGAAACGGTTACAGACCGGGCAGCGAGACCCCCGATTACTAGTCGCAGTGGCTGACAGTCCGATTCAAGTCACATCAACAAATCTCCACCTAGACTTGAATCCTCTTCCTCTGAAATCTCTGATGTACTCTACTCCTTCTCTCTCTCCCGCCATCAATGCCCCGTAGGGCGGAGTCACCCA